TCATGCTCTGGTCGAGATTTTTGATTAACGGAATTGTTTTGCTTGTACGGATTTTATTAATACGTATTGATTTAAGGTGGGGACGTTAGTAAATGAATAACAAATATAATTTCATAGGCAAAGAAAGGCAATTAACACAAGCATCTGTTCTTCCAAATTTGCCCTCATTGCACAAAATATGGTGTTTGCCTCTTCTCATTTGCCAGGTACAGGTACAGAAAAGTAGGGAGCTAAACTCTAAATCATTTCATTAAAAAAAGACAACGAGATTATTATGATGTTCAGAAATAGAACCTTTAAGTAAACTTACCTTATTCAATTACGTAAACTCTTCATAAACAATACCAACTCAGGAAAGACAAAGAAACAAATGATATCGAAACTCCTTTATTTCGTTTAAACGAATTAATTATTTCGTTTAAACGAATTAATTATTTCGTTTAAACGAAATAAATAATTATTTCGTTTAAACGAAATAAAAAGATGGGTTAATTATTTCGTTTAAACGAAATAGACGAAAAAATTAATTCGTTTAAACGAAATAATAATTCGTTTAAACGAATTAATAATTCGTTTAAACGAATTAATAATTCGTTTAAACGAATTATTAATTCGTTTTAACGAAATAATAATTTATTTCGTTTAAACGAAATAATTATTTCGTTTACACGAAATATGTGATATTATTTCGTTTAAACGAAATAATTATTTCGTTTTAACGAAATAACTATTTCGTTTAAACGAAATAATAATGAAAAGTGTTGAAAATTGCGCTTAAGGGGCTCCGTAGAAGCTAAACTATTCCATGGGCGAGAAATAGAATTGCCAATTTTACGGTTTCTTTCGTAGGCTACAAGAAAACATAAATGATCTATTTAAATACTTGATTTTAATATTATATGGGCAATTTTCGTTCACTAATCGCAGGCCTTCGACACAGAGGCACCAAAGGCAATAAATTCAAAAGATCAAAAAGATCCAAAGACAAGTGACAAGGTCTAGTGCCACGCTATAAGCCCTCCGCAGTTCTAGTAGTAAACTTAGCCCTAGTATATAGCTCAGAATAGGGTTAACCATGGCTTTACTGCTATATTATTTCATATTCTTTTTCCAGCTAAAGAATGTGGACCTCTCCCTCAAGGAAATTCATCAAAGGGAACTGTTAATGGCAGTACCTTATTTCCCAATACTGCCTCCTACACTTGTGATGAGGGACATGAACCTGTAAGCGGAGAACCCGAGATCTCGTGTCTGGCATCAGGAAAATGGGAAACCGATGTACTAGTTTGTCAACGTATAAGTAGGCATTGCCAGCGGCTTAAGAGTTATTAAACAATTAACCTATGCACTACGTGTGTCTGCTTCATCATGTTAATCATGATCATAAATGTAATCATATTTTCCATTTAATTATCATCTCGCCTTGATAGCCATTCCCGTCCATACTTTTTCTGAACTTTATATATTGTTAAATATTCTCTATAGATTTGTTTTCTTATTTACACTTCAGGTTCAAAAACAGCCAAACTCATTATTATATTCTGCTTCTATTTCAGTGACGAAAGATTGTGGATCTGAACCATTAGATTTAGTTTCTGTTGTGGATGGATCATCATCAGTTAATTCTGAAAGTTACGACAAGATGATAGACGAAATTGCAGATTTCAATTCCATAAGTTTGAATGTTAACTCAATGACAGTAAACGTAGGTCTTGTAAATTCTGATGGTAATTTTGATTTCAGTTCAGATGTAATTATTCTATCAAGTGACTCCAATCAAGTGCTTGGAAAAATTCGTGCTCTAAAGCATCAAGGTGGATCTTTGGATTACGCATTTAGTATAAATACGGCCAAGAACAGTATTTTTGACGATTTTCGACCTGAAGTCCAGGATGTTATTATACTCCTGAGTGCCGGAGTATCGAGTGTAAATCCTCAGAGTAAAGCAAGTGATGCCAAAGGCGCCGGTATTAAAATCTTTACCATAGGCATTGGCGATAGTGTCGATAGGGGTGAGCTGAAAGGGATTGCTTCCGATCCTACTGAAGCTAAATTTATAAACTTTTTTAGTGATATTCGGGCAACACTTCATGATCTTGTTAACGATTTCTGCTAATGGAGTATATAGAGTATATTTATTGTTTTAATGCCAATAAATTATAGTGCAGTTTTGTCGTGTTATTAATGCTCTTTTAGCACCTTAAGACATGGTCTTATAAACATCTCAAGAAAGTATGACGTGGGGACGTATTTTGCGCACGATGGGATAGAATTAACAGAGAGCTTACTCTTTAAGTGCAGCATTGCTTTACCTCTCGAAAACCTTGAGTAGTCTGATAGATTGCTGTTTACGTTTACCTGGTTTAGTCGTTTTCAAGCCATGTCTATTTTTTCGGCTACAACCTACCTATTTTACTAATGCTTACAATTCCTGTTGTCAAAACAAGCGTGTAATTGATCGGATTAGAAACCGGAGCATACAGAAAGGTGTCCTGACATAGATGCTACAGCTCAAGAGCTCAGAGCATGTCAAGGTCGCCACAAATAAGCGTGAAGGAAGCATCAGATACCATCCTGTGGGTGTCATTGTCGCCAATAAACGCTGTTGAGATCGCCATGAAATCTAGAATGCCTTTAGACATCTTCATTAACGCGATTAAAACTAGAACTGCGAACAGTTCCGAGCGTGGCAACGAGACCTTATCCCATGAATTTATAACCTTTTGAAACTTCTAGTCTGTTAGCTATTAAACCTACAATTTTTGAACAAGATATTAAAATCGATTTTATAATTACATTCCAGAAATGTTACCTCAATGTATGATATTTGAATTTTCCATTAACATTCATTAAATTGACTGAGAGTCTCAGAGAGCATATTCTGTTAAATTCCCGGGAAAGGGTTCCCACTAACCTAGATGAGCCACTGACGGTCTTTAGAATGAGGGCTTTCTAAATTTTTTCACATCAATGAGGTACCATTGAGTCAGATACTAGATGGCGCGTTCGTGAAGTAGGACACGCTTGTTATCAATATAACTTCGTGCTAAAAGTGCTTAGTGCTAAAAGTACTTATAGTGCGTTTGCAAAAATGTCTAAAATGACAAAAAGCACAACCTTAAATTTCTTATTGTTATCAATAAGATAGCAAAGCAAGGCAATAAACGCCCACAGGCAGCTGGCAGTGCAGTAACAATTACCAGTATGAAATATCCAACCTTCAATCTTACACTTCTTTGGAACTTTTTGGGGCGATACTGTATAATATTACCAAATTTTGTCAAAATCTGTCAAGAATTGGGCCTTCTAGAGTTTTTACAAGCTAAAACTTTTTTAGAACAAGGGCAATGACTCAAACTAAATATTTTTCGATTCTTCTGATTTTCAATAGGCTTCATCCTTGGGTGATTACAACACTCACACCAAGTTTCGTCAAAATCTGTCAATAATTCAACCTTTTAGAGTTTTTGTTAACGCTTTTTCGAGTGTTTACGTGCTAAAAATTGAACGCATTTCCAATAATCCATACTAATTATTTTTTTCGATTTTTCTGATTTTCAATAGGGTCCATCCTTGGTTGATAACAAACACTCACACAAAGTTTTGTCAAAATCCGTTAAGAAGTGTGCCTTCTAGAGTGTTAACGAGGTAATCATTGAACGCATTTTCAAGAACAAGGGCAATAACTCATACTAAATATTTCTCGATTTTTCTGATTTTCGATAGGGTCCATCCTTTGGCGATAGCAAACACTGTCACAAGTTTCATCAAAATCCGTGAAGAATTGTACCTCCGAGGGAGGGAGTTTGGGCGAAATATCTGAGATTGCCCGAATTTCTAGTCTAGTTACAGATTTTTTTCCCGAAAAACTTTCACATAGTTCCGGATCAATGAAATCGTTAATTCCAATGCTTGATGGATGTGATAACTCATTAGTGCGGTGGCTCACATACGACATATTTCACTTTTAATTTTGAATTACAAACATTAATATCACCTAGGGGAAGATTAATGTTTTAATTAAAAATTACAGAAATTATCACCTAATTTTCACCTAAATTAAAATAATTATCACCTAGGTGAAAATTAAAGTTTTTAATTCAAAATAAAAAGTGAAAAAATGTCGTATGTGAACCACCGTACATTTGGTTTATTATTACCTGTTTTGTTACTGTCAGTTATACAGGGCACGTGTTCTGCACAAGGCCTACTGGACATGGAAGTTTCCACCTAATCTATTAATAACTCATTTGATCTATCATTAACTATATTCTTCTGACCCCTACCAAAGGGACTTTTATTTTGGAGACTTGAAGCACGGGTTACTTTTTTAGTATAGTAGTAGTAGTAGTTTTACGATTTTCCCCATTCCCGTAGTATGAAATATAAACAAAAATTTTTATATAGTGGTTATATGGTATTGTGGTACCGTATGGGGGCACAAGGACATCGGAGAATATTCTGTAATGTCTTGATGAACTCATTAATGGTTAATTTGTATAGTTGTGTCAAATTTGTCGAAAAAGAGGCTCAAAAATATATCGGAGAAACTCCGACATTACTCTATCCGTATCATGTAACCTTTTAAATTTCTCAACTCATATTTCTCATATGATTGAAATAAATGATATTCATACCTACAAGCAGATTTGAATGAAAAAACGGTCGCGATTGTTGGAGGGCACATTGATCAACGGATGAAATATGTATATTGCCTTGATATTTCATTTATGACATGCTGTTTTGTTCGGGGAAGTTCTTGTACAATCTTTATTCCATGACTTGCATATTTTCAGGGTTAGACAACGACATCTTGAAGTATATCTGTGAGAATTTTGAAAGATCAGTTTACCAACATGCTGAAATACTACCCGTCAAACTTTTTTTTGGGACACCCGATATAAAGAATTGAAAGTAAGGGAACCCAACCTTAAATAAGTTTAAATCATTTAATAAGATCTAAATCATTTAATAAGATCTAAATCATTTCATAAGTTATACATAACTAAAACATTAAATAAGTTATACAAATCTAAATTATTTAGTAAGTTATACATATATCTTGTTGTTACTTTTGGACTTGTCTGCTGCTTTTGACACACTTGATACTGAGGACCTCCTTAGTGCCTTGTGGGATGAAATCGGAGTTCGAGGGGATGCTTACAACTGGTTCAAGACGTACTTAACAAATCACCACATGACTGTAGATGTTACTGGTAACAAATCAACAGAATTTGTGATGCCTTGTGGAGTTCTGCAAGGTTCTGTATTAGGACCTGTTCTATTCATTATTTTCATTTTCACCAACCATTAACAAATATAGCTCACCAACATGGACTGTCCGCTCACCTATTTGCTGACGATTACCCAACTTTATCTATAGCTTTTGAAACATCAACACAATCTGAATCTATTGAAAAGATCGAGACATGCCTGACAGAAATTCACAACTGGATGACGACACACTTCCTCAAATTAAATCCCGATAAAACAGAGTTACTCGTCTAAGCCACTAAACAACAACTTGCAAAACTACACAGATCTAATTTGAAAATGAACTGATAGTTCAATCGGATAAAGACAAAAATATCGGCGCCGTGATTGATTCTAATCTGTCCTTCAAACACCATATCAACTCTACCTGTTCTACAGCTTTCTACCTTCTAAAACAAATACCAAAGATTGCGAAACGTCAAAGAAAATCTAATCCATGCTTTCATCACAACTAAATTGGACTCTAACAATGCCCTCTTTCACCGACTTCCAGAATACCAAATAGAAAAATTACAACATATCCAAAATTCAGCGGCTCGATTTTTAACCAACACCAGGAAATTTGAACTTATCTCCCCAATCTTGATTGGTTACCAGTCAAAAAACGAATTGAATTTGAAATACTTTTACAAACCTACAAAGCCATAAACAAAAAATCTGCAACATACATTCAACAACTGATCGAATTTTCAAATCCAACACGAACCTTAAGATCTTTATGTCAGTGTTAATTAAGCGTGCCAGCAGTTAACCTCGAAATCACCAAACGAGCTACATAATTTACAGATAGAGGTAAGAGTTACAATTTGCACTGGAAATGTTCATTATCATTATCATTTTGACCTTAAAAGTTCAAAAAATCAATAACGTGTGTAACCTCCGCGTGCTTGAATGACACAATGTACCCTGTTTCTCATGTTTCCAGTGAATCGTCGAACCTCTTCTAATGTTAATTGTCGCCATTCTTGATGCAGTGCTGCTTCCAGTTGCCGAAGAGTTTGAACAGGAGGTTCACGTGCTCGTACTCGTCGCCCAATGAAATCCCAAACATGTTCTATTGGATTTAAATCCGGACTCATAGCAGGCCATGGTAAAGTTGTATTTGCACTGGTCCTCATAAAATCGTTGACTGCTCGTGAACGATGTGGTCTAGCATTATCGTCCATGAATTGTGGTCGACTCGCAAGTGTGTGGTTGTCAAAATGAGGAACCACAATCGGTTGCAACACGTCACGGATGTACTGTTGTCCTGTCACGTTACCCCTGATGGTGACAAAATCCAGCTTGCAGTCATGGGAGATACACCCCCATATCATGACGGACCCCCCACCATATGGAACTGTTGGTCTGATGTTCCTAGGAGTGTAGGCTGTGTTTCGTTGCATCCACATTCTAGTTCTGCCATCTGTTACATGGAGCAGGAACCGACTTTCATCTGACCAATGAACACGTCTCCAAGACCTCATATTCCAGTTCTGACGAGCAATACACCAGGCTAAACGTGCTGCCTTGTGGCTATCTGTCAACAAAGGGCGTTAAATTAACTTCCTGGCTTTCATTCCTGTGCTTCTCAACCGATTTCTGAGCGTTCTTAGACTGAAACGACGATTTGGCATCCATAGGCTTTTCAGACGAGTACTCGTTGCAAAGGGTTCTCGACGAACAAGGCGCTGAATGGCCCTGTCTTCTCTCTGTGAGGTCACTGGGGGTCTTCCTGATCTGGGTCGATCCTTCACAGCGCCAGTTTGAAGATGTTTATTGACCAGACGACTAATAACAGTGTGATTATAACCCAGATTCCGTCCAATTGCGCTGTAAGACATTCCTACATTGTGAATACCGATTATTTTCCATCTTGTGGCATCAGATAAGCGTCTACGTGCCATATGTCCCTTTGTGTGAGTAAAGATCGATTTTGAATGAGAGAATTAAACCAATAGAAGTGACAAAAGATACTGCATTTTGAGAAACACAAGGGTAGCAAACTGCACGCGCGGTTCATGTTCTCCACGAGATGTTTTGTCATGATTTGTTCACTCCACTTTATTAAAGGCACATTTTACTTTTCAAAAATCCGATATTTATTAAATTATTAAAACTTGGTGCAAAACTATCATGATTTGTTTAAGGATGTGCTTAACTTTTTTCTTTGTGTATATATATTTAGATTGAAACATCTGTCTCTATTCCATCCACAGGTGCGAGTTTTTAAAAACTATTTAGATACCTCAGATCTATAAAACCGAGATATAATTTATGTTTGGAAAGATGAATATTTTTGTAGTTTAGCCATACCAACAGTTTCTACCTACACTATCTATGTCACATCTCCGGTTCCATCAAAGTTGTTTTGATCGAAACTGATCTTGCATCGGCCAGTTAAAATTGCGTACGCAGCCAAAAGGTCAAACGCCACAAGTTACACTAATACCAAACACTTATCAAGAGTCATTGTAAAGGTATTTTAATATAATGTTAGAAAACACGCATCTCTGGAGATATGAAAAATCCCCATTCAACAGGACCTTTTTCTTCTGACTCTACTCCAGCCGACAACAGTCAGAGGCTGGAATAGAAGCAGAGGTTTCAGACTAACATATATCTAAATTATTTAATAAGTTGTACATATATATCTTATTCATTTAGTAAGCTATATATATTTATATCTATATAATTCATTTATTAGGTAAAACATTTCAATCATATAGTAAACTCTACATATCTCGATCAGTTTGTAAGCTATACATATCTACATCGTTTATTAAGTTATATATGTATCCAAACCCTTTAGTAAGGCTGATAGGGTTCTCTCGTGCAGGATGCCCTGGGCAATATTCGATGTATCAAAAAGTATCCTGAACATATTTACTCCATCGTTTTGTACCTCGGCCCTAGCGTTTAATTTTAAGATATCTATGCATACAAAGCCACATCGGGTACCTGACACGCTGTGCGTTACAAACAATGGCTAGTCTAATGAAAATAGACCTAACACTGGTACCGTTTTTTTTAATTAGCTTTAATTTTTAATATAGCCACTTCACGACAGCCCTCTTGAACTTTCGTCAAATTAACCATTTGACCTAACCTGATAAACACCGCTTCACAAAGTGCCAGCGCTGGAGAGGGTAGAAATTTGATTGGTTAACGCAGACGTCATCGAGTTAGGTGGCATCAGGTCCTGTTACTAGGTCCGGAAGTATTGACACTTAATCCGATTAACATATGTTTATATAATAATTTAATTACGGCCAATCATTTAGAAAAAACTTCCGATTAGGCCAAGAAGTTAATTTGACGAACGTTCAAGAGGGCTGTCATATGATCCGAACTGAAGCGGCTATATTAAAAATTAAAAACGGAACGAAAGTTTGATCTAATTTCATATAAACTGAAACAATGGCATACTTTATGAGCAATAAGCAATAGAATTTAATATTGAAATTTTGTGTAAACGTTGACCAAAAAGATCATATCGGGTAAAAAAAAACCTATAAAGGTAACAGAACTGGCTATTTTATGGTCGACTCTGACATGCCTTGTTGTCATAACTTACACCTGTAAATGGAAATAAAAATATTTCATATATTTTGTAGTATAATGTGATGTATAATGACTTTATACAAAAGTAGCCTTTTATTATTAAAAAAAGGGTTAAAAAACAAATGATAGTTTGAAAATATTTGGAGCAACTTAAATTAATATTTTCTCTACTCTGTTTTCTGAAAATTTAGCTTAAAACACCAATTTTAAATATATTTATACATTCTTTTAAAATATAGAAAGATAGCCATCTCAGACGTCTTCTAACACCGACCATAAATAGAATATATGTTTTTTACGAAAATTGTTTTAGGCTAGAACGTACAAACGTAAGGCGATATTTTAGTTGTAATAGGCCTGCAATATTCTAAATATTATCTATTTTCTTACCCGTATGCGGTCGAGAAAGTTGTTCATATAGACCATCTGTTACATTCATATTCATTCTACCTAAAATTAATAAATATCATTTTTTGCATTTAAGTCCTTTTCGTCAGCTAAATTCATACCGGCGAAATTTCCTGAAGACGTTATACTTAAAGGTATATTACCGTTTAAGATGACCAAAAATGTATGCAACAGAATCCATCTATAATCCAATAAACCCAAAAACCTAAGAAATAATTCATTAAATTAAGTTATTTTAAAACACGGTTAGAAGTATTTTTCAAAAATTATTGAGTTTAATGGATATATTATTGTCTTATACAGAGATTTTTTAGTCATGACACCTGACAAGTCTAACCTATGAATATACATGTATCCTGTTATTGACCAAGTTTGAGACTATATAATATTTTTTCCATCGTAAGGTTTTCAATATATGAAAATATATGTTATTCATATGTAAGCCCAATAAATTATGTGTAATATCTGCATGAGGAAATATTCTATAGTCCAAGTAGGATATTAAAACCTTTCTGCAATTTCAGTGCGTAGGATTTTCAATATGGAATATGGCTGGACAGCTGAAATGCAGCACTCTAGATTGATATGGCAAGTATTTATCATTCATTAAGGATTGTTTCTATCTTTTGAAACTTTGCAACCGATATGACTATCCGAAATCCAAAATGGATTATCTAGGTGCATGGCTCAATTATCATGCAATTACAATCATTTTGCAAAAAAAATAAAAAATAAATAAATAGAATAAATAAACAAAAAATTATATACCTCCTTCAGTTTCGGCTGAACGTATTGAAGGTGGAATTACCTCTTCTACAAATAGAATAAAATTATTTAATTTCTGAAATGGGTCATAGGCCTAGCCTTCGTCTTCTTATTAATATAATAATTTATCATCGGTGTTATGAGAGCAGTGGTGATTCAAAAGGGTTAGACGCTCCCAATGCGACTTATGTCGAGATAATATATTGGGATTTTTTAGGGGCAGAAAAGTTCAATTTTTTGCGACGTTGGAATCTGTGGGTAACTGACTCTTCTGCGACTGCTGTTAGCTTCATGAGAGTATCTAAGCTTGTTTTAGTCACAACTACTATACATACGACTGAAAAATACCAAGTCAGCACCTCGGCACCATTTTCAAGCATTATATCAAGCCAATTAAAAGGCTGTATATTCTTTATTTTAATACTTAATGGTCTGTTGATTCAGAACAAACGATTCGGGGAAGTATGAAACCCCCCCAAAACGACGCGTTTAAGCAATCAGAATTTAATGGACTTAAGAATAAGGAATAAGTTAAACACAATACTTATGTTTGCATACTAACGTGTTGAAGGAGATCTCTTGAAGTAAATGACAGTACCCATGATGGCTATTATAGCAAGTAACAACCCGATACCTATACCAACTCCTATCCCAGCTCCGAACGTAAGATCTTCCTGTTCATATACATGTACTATCTTATCATCTGTGGCAACTTCTGTTTTGGGTGTTGATTGACTAATTGTTGTAAAATCAGGAAATACTGTTTGGTCGATTGGAGGCTTTGTTTGAGGTGGATCAGAAGGATCTGAAAGTTTAAGCAAGAACCAATCACATAACTATATAATCAATTGGTTTGTTCGTTTTTTTTATGATCTACTCCATCCATCTACGATCTGGTGAAATTTTAAGCTCTATCACTAAAACAGTCAACAGTGGCTCAACTATAGGTTAGGATCCTCCGACGGAAAATTTCCATGTACAGTATTAGGGCCTCATTTTTGTTAATAAGGAGACAATATTGCCCTTTGTATAAGATGTGAAGCATTTTATATTGTGTGTTAACTTTAAGATATTTACTTCTTTTTTTGGAGTGTGGGTCTCTTAGGGATGAGGGTCCGTGGACTTATACCTGTATCTATGTTTTGTGCAACAAAATATGAGTAGATCTTGGATACCTATCTTTATTTTTTTACACGACTGTATCATTCTTTAAAATAGTTAACATCGAATATACTCACTTGTCAATGTGGTACCCTGTGCCAGATTAGAATAAACACTGGTTCCATATCGGATATCATAAGCTGTTAGCAGGAAGTAGTAGGTAGTATTTGGTTTAAAATTGTTAAATATGTAAGTCACAGTTGAACCGACGTTTTTGACATTAACATTACTCCCCCATTGCCCATACTGTGATTTGTAATACAACTTGTATAGTGGTGCTGTTTCAAACAATTCTCCAGCAGTCCATTCAATATGTATCGAGTTGGGTGTTGTACTCCAAGCTCTTACATATTTCGATGGTAATATTAAACCTGCAAATTATATGATATTCAAAGATTACAAGGAGAGATATGATACGCACTCTCGCAGCTTTGTAGATTATGAAATTTGGCAAACAACAATATTTACCCAGCCTCTTTTATAAAAACGTGTATTTCTTCTATATCGGTGCTTGAGTGTTCTACTGAAAAATTTATTTTGAAGAACAAGGCCCGTGACTAGCTATCAATATTTTGATATATCTGAATCTAGAATGGTTTCACTAGTTTTGTTGCCTTATAGAATCGAAATAAATTTGAAAAGATAGCTTGCCAGGCAAGGTAATATACGCCCACCACCAGCTGTCAGAAATGATATCAAAATCTTTAGTGGCTTAAGAATGAATTTTCAAATAATCTTAAAATCATCTATAAGGAAAGGCAAAAACCTGAAACAGTTCATAAAATTATCATCACATTCAAACATGAACATGTCTCATCCGATTATTACTAATTTTGAACTTGACCGAGATCTCTTCAATCATGCATATCTAGTTTCATCAAGACTGGATGAAATCTGTAGTCTCTATCGTGCCTGCATGCCGAATTTTAAAAGTTTTTACTAATTCAAGGGCAATAACTCCGAAACCATTCATCCAATGGTTACCATTTACGAACTCGACGAAGATCTCATCTATAAAAACATATATGAATACCTAGTTTCATCTAGGTTGGATAAAAACTGTAATCTCTATCGTGCCTGCAATCTAAATTTGAGGCGTTTTTACTAATCAAAGGGCAATAACTCTGAAATTAATCATCTGATTTGTCTCAATTTGAAACATGACTGATATCTCATCAATATATACATGCATCCAAGTTTCATCAAGATCACATAAACTGTAGTCTCTATCGTGCCTACAAGGCAAATTTGACGCGTTTTTACTAAGTCAAGGGCAATAACTCTGAAACGGTTTATCTGATTATTACCAATTTCGAACTTGACCGAGATCTCATCAATATATACATGCATATCAAGTTTCATCAAGATCGGATGTCGCATATTCAAAAAACCAGAACTTAAATGACAACTTTGTTCATATCAAACTAAAGCCCATTGGCATGTAACAATCCAACCTCTCGCTTTTGGGCGAGATGTTATTTTATCTAATTTCAGAACAGATGAGAAGAAAAATGCCCAGTAGTTCCAGACCATTTATTCCATCCTCGTAATGAAGCATTTGTTCCATCTTAGGTCTGGGAGAATCAAACCCTTCCTTCCCCGAAAACTAATAGGGTGACGACATCATTTCGCGTACGAACTTTTGGCATTTCAAAATGTATTTTAAATTCAAATATTACTGTGACAGTTAACTCTAATGATTCAGATCAGACATGCGGATACGAAAGATCTCACCGAACAGAACCGAGACAATAATAAACTCAACTTATGTCAATAAAATAAACCGTTGTGAAGGTATATGTTACACTCGCTGGTAAGATATTTGGAAACATTCATATCTCACACAGAAGGCATAGAAGGGAAAGATGTGCCATTTTTTTGACCAATCATACTCTTTTCTAAGAATAATCCAAGTCTTTTTTTTTTTTTTTTTTTTTTTTAGACATTTTTAGATATTTTATTTTTGAAGTACTGAAGTATCAAATCAACCTCCAAAATGGGGCATATGTCCGTTTGAATAAAATGGTATGCGGAATTTTTTGTATGGACAGACTCTTGTCTATTCACCGGAGTCAACAGCTCGAAACCTTTAAGAACTGAAGATGGCAAGGGCTCGTTGAGACATGTTCACCTTTCAACTTCTTCACTATTCTGTTATGTGATATATTCATTTCATTTTGTCATGTGATATATATACTTTTCGCACGCCGCAGTACGTCTTCATTCTACTCACCACAGATAAAGTATCAATGACTTACCCCGTAAAGTGAGATTTGTAATTAACATTCCTATAGAATTGTTTGCCTCAATGTGATAGATACCATGAGAGTCTTCTGAATAAGTACGGAAATACAGTCGGACTTTGTTGGAATAACTCAATACATCTACATCAATAGGCAGATCTTGTAATCCAGAAGGTTCGTATTTCTGAACGGAATATGTTGGTTTAGGTTGGCCAATTATCAACAGGTCGAAATATTTATTTGAAGCTTGAGCCGAGTAGTAAGAGACTGGACTTTTAACTGATTCCGCCCAAGTTGGTGGACCTGAAATTATGACACCGAATATAGCATTATAACTTGAACGGCAAAAAAGAGCCTGAATTGATACTCATCTCAGCACAGAGTCTTTTCTTCACTAAAATGCAGGTTTAAATGAACTTTCAACTAAGCTTGTCACTTTTGAAAATTAAATCAAACATCCGCGTTAATTATAATTTGATAAGATTTTAACCATTACATTTAACAGCATTTTTAAGTGGAAATGCTGATGATTTTAACTATATAGGAATAAGAATTAGTATACGCACAATCCACTGTGACATAAATAACGGGGGAGTACATGCCAGTTCCATTAAATCTACCATAACATCTATAATAGGTATTATCATCACAGGTTATTGTTTTAGTAGTTGATCCGGAGTAAGAATTTCCAATATCTTCGAAATTTCTACCACTTCTTTGAATGTAATAACTTGATATAGACGAGTAATTTGATGAAATTGTGCAGGTAATCTTCACGGTGTCATTAAGCTCGTATGTTTGCTTTGAAGACGAACTGTCATTTATTGTAATAGATGGTAGAGCGACTGTAAAGAAATAAATACAAAGGAATAATATCAGTCGTTTTTACAATGAATACAACCTCTCGGAATGACTAAAAAAGTAAAAAAATTAAAATTGGCCAAAATTAGTGTATATGTTCATCATTTCAATTCCAATTCGCCCCTAAATTATTCCCCCGTTTTCCAGTTTCTTCCGTTCAAATGACACAATATCTATTTTTAGTATTAGAGCTACAATAACAAAGAAGGCTTATGTCATCCCGTTTGTTAATCTATATCTATTTAATGATTACTGCATAATTCATATTTTACATTTATACCACAATAAAATGATCAATTATTATTATCCATGAAATATAGTTATTTGAGTGATATCATTTTTAAATAATCTTCGGACAGAGTTATCTGTTCTTGCCAATTTATCTGGCAATATGTCAGCCTGAGTGGTCAGCCTTTAAGGACCGATTCAATGTTCAACTCATGGAAACATTGGCGAAGATTAAACCGAATAAAGAACTGGGTCTCCAATTGGAAACCGGGACTTTAAACTTTAGATCTAGCGTCAAACTAAAGTCAACTATCTATCAACTAACATCACCATAACAAAGGCCAGATTATTTATCGGTTGCAACCTTTGAAAACATAACGTCATAAGTGCTGGAATTAGATTCTTACCTGTTACTGTCAAGATTAAACACTGTATATAACACACTGTTGTTATCCACTTAAAACCCATGGTTTTTCTTCATATCTGGAGGATATATAGTTATATATATATAACTTGTCATCTGAACACATTGAAATGCATACAATCAATCACTACCTTTTTTCCTTTTGAATCTGAATAAACTTTCCCTTAGGAAGGGCAAAGCTATCATTGTTTTGTGTGTGTTTATCTCTTACTCTTGAATGTTCAACGACTAGTCGTTACAATCATAAGCTTATGTTAAAGAGGGTATATTGATATATGTCACGGTAAATATTTGGTTTCCCCAGATAATACAGCTCCATTACAGCATAGCCTAAAACAGTTTGGAAACTTAATTAACATGACAACTTCTTAACTTTATTTAAAGGTCACGATTCACAACTTCTTGACTTTATTTAAAGGTCACGATTCACCATTTTCGGTGGGTGATATATGTTAATAGTTTTCAGAAATAGCAATTTTACTGTACGTAAGTCGCACAACTAGAAATTTCACTTATTTATCTTATGAGTTAAGACTGAAGTCAATGATTTTGCGCTCGATGGAATTTTGTTTTGGAACATAATGATTGGTATACAATGACGGAGGCAGCCATTTTGAACATCACATCACATGATATCAACACCACGTCCGATTGGTTTAAGAACATCGTTCGCCAGATAAAATACGTCGGACACGGTCGACGAGCAAAATTCATCGTCGGCGTAAAAATTGGCCGAAAATATCTAACATTTTTTATGCTGGCGATTTAGCGTCGAAGCGGGCACGCGAGATAATTTGTTGAGCAATTTTATAATTCGCCGTGATCGTGTGAAAAAAATACGCTAGTCTGCTCACACTTGAGAAAGCTAAAATTTCGACGGTAAGCAAAATAAGTGAACCATGGCCGCCCAATTAAAGGCGATTCGTAATACACATACTAGACGGATGGAGCGTTCACGTTAAATTCTCACTGAAAGAAAACTCTAATTTTTCATTGAAACGCTATTTATCATATGATATACACAAAGGTTAAGTCTATGACAACTTACATAATGTATGTCATCAAAATCTGATCAATTGTTAAGTCTAGGCGTTTCGACAATAAAAAGTGGTAGTAGAAAATGATCTCCTAACTACTTACGTGTTTTCCCTTTGAAGGGTTTTCCTATTACACCCGGCGTTTAAATCACAAACAAATTTGATGCATGACGCTATCTTTACGGAAGCGTATTAGGGCCATTCATTTTTTTTTTGAATTTTCAAGTTAGTATGTTGAATTTTCAAGTTAGTATGTTGAATTTTCAAGTTAGTATGTTGAATTTTCAAGTTAGTAACTTGAATTTTCAAGCTAGTATGTTGAATTTTCAAGTTAGTATGTTCAAGTTAGTATGTTGAATTTTCAAGTTAGTATGTTGAATTTTCAAGTTAGTATGTTGAATTTTCAAGTTAGTAACTTGAATTTTCAAGTTAGTATGTTGAATTTTCAAGCTAGTATGTTAAATTTTCATGTTAGTACGTTGAATTTTCAAGTTAGTATGTTGAATTTAGTAACTTGAATTTTCAAGTTAGTAACTTGAATTTTCAAGTTAGTAACTTGAATTTTCAAGTTATTATCTTGAATTTTCAAGTTAGTAACTTGAATTTTTAAGTTAGTAACTTGAAAATTCAACGACTTTTCAAATTAGTATGTTGAATTTTCAAGTTAGTATGTTGAATTTTCAAGTTAGTATGTTGAATTTTCAAGTTAGTATGTTGAATTTTCAAGTTAGTATGTTGAATTTTCAAGTTAGTATGTTGAATTTTCAAGTTACTAAATTCAAGATACTAACTTGAAAATTCAAGATACTAACTTGAAAATTCAAGTTACTAACTTGAAAATTCAGCATACTAAATTCAACATACTAACTTGAAAATTCAACATACTAACTTGAAAATTCAACATACTTACTTGAAAATTCAAAAAAAAAAAAATGAATGGCCCTAATATGCTTCCGTATATTTTCCTCGTCTGGTGTCATATTACTTAAAGTTGGGTTCCCAATTGGACGGCTAATACTAGAATAATAAGGATACGGTATTTTATACATTTGTACATTTAAAACATACATACGTTCATTAAAAGATGCCATATAATTATAACAATCGAAAGTAGAGGTGATAGGGAAAGTAATAATTAAATCACGATTCCGTTTACACGGTATCACGCAATTTGATTGGATAACAGTGGTTACGTGAATTCGATTTATATCTGTGCAAACGGAATGTAAAAATATAAGCTCCACCCCTTAACGGACTACTTTTATGATTGAGTGGCCACTACACGGCATTCGTTCCTTCGAACGCCAACAACGCCGAAATCGACACATCACTGATTGATAAAGGTATTTTCTAAATTCCCTCAAATTCCAACAATATCATGAATTCTGGACTAAGAACTCGTTCGCTACGAGGATTTAAAATATTTTTATTCAAAATCAAAGCTGCTAGTGGGCGTATATTACCTTGTCTGTCAAGTTATCTTTGTTGATATGTTCATTGATCAGCGGTGAATAAATTTTGTATGAATATTTGAGGAATTTTTAGGTGGTTTCCCTTACGAAACCTTTGACACCCAAACATTCCTTTTGTTTACACAGCCATGAAGCGGTTTAAAATGTAAGTTATTATTGAGCCAATTTTTATGTAACATTATAATATTATGTAGCTAACTTTAAGATTCTATACAGTGTTCATAGTTTTTTTTCTGTTTATACATCGATAAACTGAAAAAATTTTCAAGTCATTCGTTAAGTAAGCGGATTACCCAGAGAATACAGGCGGATTTTCTACATACATTTCTTTTGAATACATGGATAATTTATTATAAAACCAATTATCAAAAAGCTGCTTTTACTCTAAAAATGCGACAAGCCATCTTTAAAGGACCTAACTCCCGAAGTTTAATTGTTATAGAACTACATTCAAATTGCATTCATTGCATTCTATCAAAAACAAAATAAGAAAGGAAAATATCAGTGTAAATATTATTTATGTAAATATTGTAAGTATGGGCGAGACATTTGTGACAGTTTTCCTCGACTAGAACATGAAATGACAACACGTCATTTCTATATTTTATAAATACTCTTACTCTTCTTTCTAAATTTATTAACTAAATCAATTATGTTACCTTTTTGCGCGACGAGATAATTATTTTGGTCATACTTCAGACAAGAATATTGGCAACTAAGCCAAACAAATGAGGGTCTAATGACTGCAAATTGTTGCACTTTAAGTAAAATATTGACTCAATAATAGATCTAATTTGAATCCAAGGAAAATTGGTCTGAATGCATTATATTGAATGATGATATCACCAAAAATACACAAAAATCATATAATCAAGCAAAGATATCACCCGGGTACGATACAAAACATTTACAATAGTAATCCACTTTCATTGAGGATGGTGCAGAAAAGTAGGACGTAAAACTCTATTCATTTTAATTGAGGAAGAATAAATAGAAATTGAATAACAATAGAGTAGTGTTGTGTAGGAAAATCTTTCTCCAATCCTAAGGCTATAGTTATTCTTTTCGCCAGTAGGTGGCCAAATATTTAACCAATAGGCCCAGGCAATATTCACCAACTCACTTTATTGCCACCATATTATAAGAATATAATGATCAAAATAGTTCTCTTTTTTGAGCGAAAAAGAAAACTAAAACCGATAAAGGTTTTATATCTGGTCAAAACTTAGTGCCAAACATTTAATTTGTTTGATTCTATCATTGCTTTTTCTGGGATACATTGTTTCATGAAAGCAGTCTGTTGTGAGAGTTTAAAAAAAACAAAAATTAAACAAGGTCTTAGTGTTGAAAATATTAAAGATGGGTTACCTTTTTTTCATTAACGAAAATGAAAATGTTAATACTTATATGAATAGGAAGTAGAGGTGTTCTAATGACTTGGTAAAATACCAGTTTGTCTCTCATGTCCATAATTTAATCATAATTAGCCAAATTAGAAGAGAAATACCAACAGAATTCCAATGAGTGACCGATCAAGAAAGGTCTAAAAGTCCCTTTTTTGTTTATCCAGACTGTACATATACGGACATTTATGATTGGTTAAAACTCTTAATTGTGTGCAATAAGAACATAATGATATGATTAAGAATACATGATAATTCATTAGAAACACCAATTAATCAAATAGTTTGCTTAATTTGACACTAAAAAATGAGGAAACCCACCGTTAACAAATGACAAAATCACATATATTTCCGTTAACATGCATGTCTTGGGTCAGATAAAAGTATAGAAAAATGTTGCTTAATATGTAAGCGAAATGTTGGCGGTGTGTACAGAACTTAAATCTATTGCATTTATAAAATTGGAGAATTTGGAGGTGGTTCCCCTTAAAAAACCCTTAGCTTTCTTTTTGTTTACAGAGCCTTGAAACTAGATCCCATGTCATTTGACAAGCGTGATATAAACCTGTTTAAAAATTGAACTGTCTTTTGTGTTGATTTGGGAGTTTTTTTTTCTGTCACCGAAGTAAAGATTCTGCAATAAAAACAATATTGGCAAACACATTTGAATTTTTTCTCTTAACGGGAACATTTAAATTTGTGTAAATCAAATGTCAAAATAACAAACTATCTGATTTTTTATTTAATCAATGCTCAGAAGACTATCTTGAAATTAGCGTTGTGATTTCATCTTATTAACATATTAAAATAAATGGTAATAGAAATAAAATATTTTTGATATATCATGGTCTACGGACGCTTCCGTAGAAAACTTAGTTACTAGAACAAATATTAAGATATTGCCAAATATTACAACATTGATACAAAGTATTAAATTTGTCACATTTCAATAGTATGTTACCGAAAATGTTGGCAGTATCTACAGAGCTTAAGTGTCCGTTTGCGGAATATTTGCCTTCTAGAGTTTTCACGAGCTAAAAATTGAACACGTTTTCAAGAACACGGGAAATAACTCATACTCAATATTATTCACATATCGCTCTAAAGAGTTTAAAAGAAGTGTATGACTGATGGTTGAATATTTCATACTGGTGATTGTTACTGTGCTGCTAAATATTTTTATTCAAAATCAAAGCTGCTAGTGGGCGTATATTACCTTGTCTGTCAAGCTATCTTTGTTGATATGTTCATTGATCAGCGGTGAATAAATTTTGTATGAATATTTGAGGAATTTTTAGGTGGTTTCCCTTACGAAACCTTTGACACCCAAACATTCCTTTTGTTTACACAGCCATGAAGCGGTTTAAAATGTAAGTTATTATTGAGCCAATTTTTATGTAACATTTTAATATTATGTAGCTAACTTTAAGATTCTACAATGAAAAAATTAGCAAAACATTTCAATTTTTTCACTTAACGATTACCAACTGTCGAGGAATCTTTAGCGTGCACAATCCGTGACGCACGGGACCTAGGTTTATTGCATATACCAAGACATATAAGTGAATATTATGATCAAAGCATTCACTTCCTCAAGAGCAGTAAAATTTGAAGCAATAAGCTTAATTTCAATTCTTTCATTCTCGTCATTACCAAAGCTTCTTCAAAATCCACCACATCAGACCTCTTATTGGGTTCTTCAGATTCCATCACAGAAGTATTTCGTTCTTGCCTGTCATATCCAGAGAATCGTTATATTCTGTTACAACATCAGCGCGCTTTCATTGTTGAACTGTGTCTTATACCTTGACTGCATATCATGGAATTTGTGCGCCAGCCAATACAGCCAATCAGAGATCTCAACAGAAAGACTGTAGACATTGTGCTTATTGTTTACATTGTTGTCACATCAGACATACATAGAATTTCTCCATAATCTGTCACTTCAAAGCTCTTTCCTCGTAACTCGTCATGTACAGATTTCAGAATCCGTCACACCGTGAGTTTTTTTTTTCAAAATCTCTCGCGCCAGAGATAACTGCATACCATTGCGAACCAGTACTGAAGAACTTTGATGTTCAGACTATTTGAAGAACCTTGATAAGCCACACTAAAAGAGCTCTAATGTGATGGATTATGAAAAACCTCTGGGTATGACGAACCAAAATGAAAGAGCTCTGATGTGATATTACATTTAATAAAAATAACATCGGGAGTTAGAACTACAAAATATGTTAACCGTTCGATTATAATGAACTATAGTGAAGCATATTCATATTATAATGCTGTATATGAAAATTCTTCTGAAAGACAAGGGCCGTGTCATGCATCATCATGTATCAAAGAAAGACTGTCGTCTTGTTTACTACAATACTGGAAGTTGCAGTAAAGCATTTAAGGGTCATTTGATTCCAACTGCAATATGAGTAGTTAACTGACTGCCCTTTTTCCAAATTTCTAGTTTAATTTAAATCAGCAATCCTAGGTAAAATTGAATATGTTATCTACCTTCTACCCAAATACAGTATTGTCAAGGAATGCCATGAATCCTGTAAGACAATAAGTCCTAAATGTTAGGGGACAATTCTGTTTTGTATTTGCACTATTCTACTTTTCTGTTCAAAGCTGATGTCTGTGCTAGCTTTATAAAATACCATTCAAGCAACAGAACAGTATTAATTTGGTCATTATGAATTGGTAATCTGATTGATTAAAAATAGGCATAAAATTGTATCTGATATACATTCAATGGCTTGAAAATCTATTTTGGGTCCTTTATAAAAGTCCTAATATTTGAACTTATAATTTACGGAAATGCATCAAAGACTAATTTGAATATGATAATGATAATATAAGATATAAAATGATTAGTATAATGAATGAATTA